GACAAAATTCCTGTTGACTGAATGGAGTCAGTTTTACTCAGAAGAGACTTGTTTGTGGCCCTGAGGCCTGTGTGTGATGCTGGAGAGAAATCTCTTCATCTAATGCTAATTTTTTTTTTTTTTTTTTTTGAAGGGTGGGGGTAAGGACTGAGGAGGGAAAGCTGAAGTCCAGAACTGACAGCATGAGCAGGGATTAGACCTTGCTGTTCCTCCCACCTTTTTCTCCCTGTTGATGTGCCTCCATGCTAATTTAGACCTGTGGCAACCATCAAAGCCTTGTGCATACCTTCTGCACAAAGGGGCCTGTCTCCCACGTGAGGGCGTTCTCTCCTGGGACAGAGTCAGTTTGTCCCCCAAAAGAAAAATCTTAAGCACCCAATTGCCTGCTTGACTGACTCCTTGACTGCTATTATGTTTCTAACCACGGTAATTTGCTTTAGTAGTTATTAATGGATTATGTTTGGGGAGGGAGGGACAGAACCCAACACCTAGCTTTGTAGCTGAGGGACTCCCTGACCAAAGTGCTGCTTTCCAGACATGGGGTTTGACTGGTGAGCTGTCAGAGTGGGTGTCTTTTGCTTGTTTTCCTCTGAGATAGGAGACATTAGCAAAAGGGAAGAGTTCCCTCTTGTCCTGCACTATGGCGGAGAGAAGGCAGATACTGAGCATAAACCCTGTTTCCAAATATGAAATGCTGCATACTTTCCTAATTGGTCCTTGTGGCTGCTGCACAGCAACAGGAATTGGCTTTTCCTTAGACTCTCAGACTTTGGTCAGGGACTTCAATGGAGAAGAATAATGTGTACACCCTGCAGCATCTGTACAGAGAACCCTGTGCTACACGTGCATTGGGCCAATTGCATGTGCACTGCCAATGAACCTGGGATTTTGCATGTAAGACAGCCTGGTTGCAGAGACTTTGAAATAGTTCTGGTGCTGCAGGCCTCATCTAGCCCTAAAGGGCAGCTAAGGGTCACAGTTCTTGTGGACACCTCCAGGTATGTGAGTTTGGTTAGGAGGGATAAAGCCAGCAACAAAAGAGGGCCTTGGTAGCTGTAGCTCTTCCTTGGTTCCTATAGCTCTTTGAGATTGCTTGATGTTTTCTGCTTGCCTCTTTTGCAGAGTGTATTGGCAGTGCTGGTTTGGCCTTATGATTTGGAGAAACCAATTGCTCAGCTAAACCACAGAGCTAGGAGTAGAAGGAGTCCTAACTTCTGGCCCTGCTTCCACATGGCTCTTCTCTGGCTTCGATTGAGTTGAGTGCATGTTCACCACTTTGATGGTGGGTGCCTTGTAACACCAGCAGTAGTGCTTCTCACAGAATTCAAGGATGCTGCAAGAATCCCTTCCTGGTACAGTAGAGGCTTGGAGACACCTTCTGACTTCCAAAGGAAGACTGTTGTAGAGGATCAAAGAAATGTTTAAAACCTGCTATTTTTACAGACATGACATGTTGCCTTATTTTGCTTTCCTCTTTCAGCTGCCAGCACCATGTCATGCTGCAAAAGATGTTTAGGCAAAGCATAAAGCTGGCTTATATTTAAAGCAGGCTCCGTTTCCTGCATTCATGCTATCCTTGTTGCAAAGACTTAAACATAGTTTTGGCATTTTATTCTTGGTAGCTGCAATAAATGTGGCTTTGTGAGAGGTCATTTATAGCTTGCTTAGAAATTTTTGTATGAGCTGCTTTCTCTTATTTGGACTGAGGATAGGAAGTTGGCACAAAACAATGTGGTGTGGAGAGCCACAGCACCCGTGTTCCTGCTGCTTGATTTTAAGCATTTGTTTCTGTCTTATCAACTAGTTTGAGGCCAGTGGCTGTCAGGCGACCTCTGAAGCCAGCATGTACAGCAGGGACATAGCATCGCCAAAGAGGACGTTGGAGTAGATCCTGCTGGAGAGTGTGAACTGAGCCAAATAATGCTGCAGGGGAGTTGTGCTGCCTCTAATAGAGAGTGCTTGAGCACTGGGGAGGGCAACCTGATCCAGCTTTGAAATTGGCCCTGCTTTGAGCAGGCTGGATCAGACACCTCTATTCTGTGATTCGTTAGGCCTGTGATACTGCAGCCAATTCATGATTGTGCTCAGAAGTTGCCAGCAAACAGAAGCGAGACATGAAGTAGGAAGTAACAGAGAATTTTCCATGGGGTCTTTCTGCAGGTTACAGTGCTGACTGTATATGAAACGTGCTGAGTACTGTGCTAACTGTTTTGAAAATGTCATTGCAATTTACAGCTGCTCCTGTTTTAGGTTTTCCCTTTGCATATGCAAATACATCTTTATGTCCTGCCAATTCTCTGCAGTTGTGACCTGCTGCATCTGGTAAGCTCAGCTACTGAGAGCTCTGGAGCACCTCTCCCCTTGCTGCTGCCTGGCCCTTGGGAGAAGCGGTGGAACATGCTGAAATAGACTTTGAATTCTGGTTCAAGACTGTCTTGTAGCCTGTTTTCTCTGTCTTGCTCATGCACTATTTCTTCAGAACATGAGGATTAGTAAGTGGGGTTTTTTTGTTTGCTTGTTTTTTTAAACAGCTCATTTGTGACGGGGACAGCCTGCTGTGGACACACCTCACCTCTGAGAATCTGGGACCTTGAGAGGTGAGTGAGCTTCCAGGTTACAGGGAGGGACTTGAAGAGAAAAGTGAATAACAATGAGAAATGCAATATTGGAGATGCCGTAAAATCATTCCTTTAGTCCATGTAGCCAAGAGGTGTTTAAACACGAGATGTGGGATGGAACACGCTGGTGTGGAAAGGTGTATGTGGGGGATGGTTTTGGTTCAGTAGGGAGCAGCTCAACTTTTCTTCCCAGCTTTTCTAGTTGATGGCACAGCCATCCTAGTTTCTTCCCATTACCCATATACAGTCAGAATACAACCACTACACCTTCCTTTTCATCTGTCTCAGCTGATCCTTCAGCCTGAGCCAGAGGGGTGAGGAAAGTGATCTGCATCCTCCCGTTCACCCACTTGTCTGTGGTGCTCAGAAGCCAGAGGCCGCTGCAGGCTCTACAGTCATCTTGCCCTGGCTGGTGTTTCTGGTAGCTCAGGGAGGTGAGGGGTGGCGACAGGTTATCTACAGAAGTGACTTAAGCATGTTGTCTTCTCTCTGTCTTAATAAGCATTGAGGAGGTTAATTGCTGTGGCCTCTGATTTGGGGCCATTGAAGAGTTCCTGTTCAGTGAAGGTGCTGACCTTAGCAACTGGGGAAATGTTGGCCTCAAATCCTGACGTGAGACTCAACTGCTGACAAATTTGAAACTCGCAGCCTAGGGGTCTTTGTGTAGTGATGGACAGATAGCAAATATTTGGCAGGATTATTAAACAGCAGCTCAGCTTTCTGGGACAGGTATGCTGTGGGTAGGAGTGGCACGGTGCAGATTATCAAGGGAGTGCCATCAGGATTGAGGTGAACTGGTGGACTCTGGGAGGGGAGAGAGGGGGGCAATGGCAGAAGGGGCCTGAGGGGTGTCAGCAGAGCTGTATTTGGGGAAAGGAGGTAGAGGAGGATTGGTGTGGATGCAGGGCTGGTCTGAGGCCAGTTGCCTTCTAATCTGTAGTTTAGATAGTTTAGATTGTTTGAGTCAACTGCATCAAATACAAATATAAACCAGTTTGTTTTTCTCTGAAGTAACAAAAATAAAGACTTTGCAAAGGATGCATCCCACAAAGGGTAAACTACAGCAGGAAAGACAGCACCAGTCCACTCGGCTATGGTGTGTGTTTCTCGGTGACCTAGTCCAGTGGTGCCTTTGGAGCACCCCAGAAGGATGCAGGCTGTGCTGTGATACCCCTGCCCATCAAGTCCTCTGGCTATTCTTGAATAGAGGCATCTGACAGGGGTGAGGAGATGGGCAACCCTCTCCCCCCTGCCCCAGCCTCTCTGACAGCCTTTCCCAAGGAAGCCTGAAGAGATAATAAAGCTGTGTAGAAAATAGGATTAAGGTAATGAACAGGCACAACGGAGTTTGATCTTTCAATAACGTCAAAGCCTGAGTGACAGGCAAATAAAAAAGCCAGGCAACCTAGGCCACTGGGCCTCTGCTGCAATGGCTGGAGTGTCAGACTTATTCTTCCCTCTTCACCTGTCACAGCTGGAATGCACCATGCCACTGGGTCTTTTCCTCTCTGGGGACCTGTGTGTGAGCTGGGAGTCTCGTCAGCGCATGCAGGGCAAGAGACTGAGTAGGGAGCACGGCCGGGAAACTAGCACATGAAGCTTGATGTGATCATTCATAGCGAGGGAGTACAGAACTGTCCTTCCAGGTATTGACTACTCCATAAACTGTTGTTCTTCCCAGCAGAGCTTTGGATTAATTTTTGAAGGCTCCAGTGGTTGCCAGAAGCGATCTTGT